GCCACGCGCCGGAGTGGACGACCCACACCTACGACTCTGACGACCAACTCGCCGTCGCCATCCACCCGGCGATCAAGTCCACGTCTCAGCCGCCGCCGCCGCCGCCGCCGCCCGCCACCGACATGGACCAGCTGTACTACACCAAGAACCTTCTGGAGGCCGCCATGCTCAAGAACCCGTACGAGGCTCTCAAAAACGACAAGCACCTGCACGGCTCGATCCTGCTGGCGTCGCTGAGGGCGCCCCTCAAGTTCGGGCTGCACGGCGTGTACGAGAGAGAGGGCGAGAGAGAGGTGGCGGACACGTCCCCGCACTCGCCCCACACCTCCTCGCCACAGAAGCCCACGCAGTCCTCGCCCACGTCGAACTCCCCGAGCAGCGGCGGGGGCGGCAGCGGGGGCGGCAACAACAACAAGGTTTCAGTGCCTATCATGAGCTACTGCATCCAGGACAACGGCTTCAAGTGCTCCAAGTGCTTCCAGACCTTCACGCACCCGTCCAACTTCCACCGGCACTACATCACCGTGCACACGGACCGGCGCGCCCACAAGTGCCATGTCTGCGGCAAGGAGTTCAAGCGCAAAGACAACATGATGTCTCACATCCGCTCCGTGCACCGGCCCGGCAAGGAGGGCCACTCCATCTTCAGAGAGGTGTCGTCGGTGTCGCCGAGCCTCCCGCGGGAGGTCCCGCACCTACAGGAGCAGCTAATGCAACAGATGCAGCAAGTTGACAAAGTCTAGAGCTTCCAAGTGACCGCCTCGGTCACGCCCGACAATCACCATTCCGGTGACTCCAGAGCGAGCTGGAAATCCGCCGACCAAGTCGGCATGGCCCGAGTGGCCGCATCTCATTCTCACGTGCAATGTTAAGGTTGATAGCCTGTAGACCCCCCGATGACGCGGTGACAAATCCCACACTGTGTTCTGTGATGACTAGCATATCCCTTACCTGGGCGACCAGGCTCCTGCGGGCCGGCCGCGCCCCCGGGCGGGCTCCCCGAGGACGTCGGGCCAAGTAACTGTGTGTGTGTGAGGCCTTAATGTGTGCCTTGTGCTGCCCAGGGGGGGTCCCTGGTCGCCACCCTGGGGCCCCCTCTGCTACGCTAGATGAACCTGCTGTGTTAGTTTTCAAGTTTACCGGTTGTATTATGTTAGTGATTATAAGAATTCTTTAGAGAAGTGCAATATAGTGCATTATAGATTATTTATAGACAATTTCACGTTACTTAAGCATGACATTATATTTAAGAGGTACTTTATAAAGGTGTCCCGCTGCCCAAAGGCAGTGATCACGCGTGTGCGCGCGCGTGCGCCGAGGCTGGTCACCGCGTCAAGCCTTCACTGCCAAGACTCGTGGAAACGCCGCTCCTTGCTCGCGAAGCCGATCCTTCCGCGGCGCCGAGGCTCGCGTCGGAGGCGCCGCCGAGCAGACTCCCGGGCCGCGTCCCGACGCAGGAGCCGCCGGGGGCGCTGGGCGGGGCGCTCCCAGATGGGTATTTGTACAGGGTAGCTTACAAGCACACTCAAAAGTAGGAATATAGATGTGTGTGTGTGTCTATATGTATATGTGTGTATGTATTATATATATATATATATATATATATATATATATATATATTATATATATATATATATATATAATATATATATATATATATATATATATATATATATATATATATTATATATATATATATATATATATATATATATATATATATATATATATGTATGTATGTGCATACATACATATATACATGCACACATACACATACAAACACTATATATCTACACATATACACACACCACACACAACACACACACACACACACACACACACACACACACACATACACAACACACACAAGCATATATATATATATATATATATATATATATATATATATATATATATATATATATATAATATATATATATATATATATATATATATATATATATATATATATATATATATATATATTAACACACAAAATGCACTAGAGCATATGCATGCTTGCATATGATGATACCTATATATAGTACATACCCAGTCCTGCACATCGAATCCTTTGAAGTCATGACATCAAGATTCATTTAGTTAACTACTTTATGATCAAGTTCAGCCAGAACGTTAATATGCCTCAGCGTGCTCAATCATTACATGCATGATCAATATCCTAAAGGAAGGAGCGATTTATCTAAACCAAAGTGCTTTGAAATCCTGGTGAAGAAAACTTTAGACTCTACTCTGCACCCGGCGCCTTAAAGTCAAAGGTTTTGGCCTTCGGAATCCACAGAATCGAAAGTGAACAAGGAAAGGCAAGGCATCGGGTCCTACTCGTTCATATCCCAGTGAAAAAATAAGTATATGAATAAATGAATCAATTCAAGTTCATCCAATGACGTCACCAGATCTCGTAATGAGGTTATACCTAACTCAGACCAAGTTTCTGTTCGTGATAGAAATATGCATTTATAAAGTTTCAGATTTTTTTCTTTCTTTCTTTCTCTTTTTTTTATCTCTTCGTATGTAAACTAAGTTTGATCATGTACATAGTATCCTTTTTTCTCTCCTTTATCATCATCACAATTTTTGTCATCATTTATTATAATGTTTATGCAGTGTGTGCGTGATTTTTTGTGTTGTGTTTTCGACCAAAGTTAGTGTGGTAATATATTTTGTTCTTTTTATCGCCATGCATTGAAGGTCAGAATAGTACATTTGTTAATATATAATTGACAGTATGACTGATTACAAAAAAACCAAATGCATTTACTGAGAAGTGATACTATTGTGACTTTGGCATGGAATTACGGCTTGAGGGTACTTTAGTAGTAAATATATTCTGAAATACAAATCGTGAACATTTTACGTCAGGTTCTGTATTCATGTAAGATAGGCCACTCCATCCTTCACGTTACTTTCGTCACCTCGGTCTGCCACTGGATCCTTCAGGACTGAGAAACGAAACTCGAATGTGCACTAAACAATAAACTCTCTATCTCGCGAGTGAGCGGAAGCAGAAGGGATTCCCCGAAGGTCCCGAAGTCCCGCCGTTCGAGCCAACAGCTCACAGGAGGTTGCATTTTGTTGGCGTAGTGTAGGGCGTGGAATCTGACGTAGCGCGTTGGCTGGAACTGCGTCGGGCCAGGACCTTCAATCTGTCTATAGGAAGCTTTAAGTGAGCTTATAATTTTTATTATTGAGAAATACTGTAAAGAGAGAAGTTATATCAGAGTAATATATTGAATAATATATTGACATTATTTATTTGTAAGTTTACACAAAGTTACACTCTTTTTTATGAGGACAAGAACCTCCTCGGGCGCTTTCTTTAAGAGGCTATAAACGTGCGTATAAGTTAATGGTCGAACATGTTCATTTCGGCTGGTTTTCCGACCCGCCCACTCAAGGGGACCCGCTCTCTGGGCGTCGAAGGGCGAGGGGAAGCTGCAATTGGACGAATCATTCGTTAGTACTGTTGTTATTCAAATTCGTCGAACCAAACACGCGTAAATCTAGTTAAAATGAAATGAGTCGACATTTATGACAATGAAGCAAAACAGAAAAAGTTAAAACTAAATCCTCATCGTATCTCACAGGTTGACACAGAGAACCCGGGTATCAAACTCTCGTCAGCCAGCCCATGAATGCTTTTACTATTTATTCCAATTTTTGTTGTTGTACAAGACATATCCTACGGAAGAAATTCCTCTCCTCTGACACATATCTCTCTTTGAGCTTTCAAAGAAAAAAAAAAAGAAAACGCAAGGAAAATTGCATTTATTTTTATTCTTCTACCAGCTGTGTCATTCATTAATACAATATTCTCGAACGCTGATATTCGTAACGAGTAAAACGTCTTTCCTGTTTTCAATCAGTGTCTTTCCTCTCCTCTTCGCAAAGAGTAAAACGTCTTTCTTCTTCTCAATCAACGTCTTTCCTCTTTGTAAACAGAACGACTTTGCCCTTCTCTCTCCTCAAGGCGTTGATAATCAAGTGTGGCGTGCATTTCGTGGTATGATCTTATACGCATCTCACTTCGACGTATTATGCACTAGACCATAAGGGAACAAAAAAACATGTTCTGTATAGTAGTTGTCTTTTCCACATTTCTACTTTTTTGTAAATTTTGTAAATGTCACATATGAGATAGTTGGGTAAGGCAATAAATAAATAAATATATATATATACCGGGTGTAGATTATGACAGTCTTCGTTCATATGTAGAAAGGGTTACGTGGATTGTTTGTTTGTTTCGTTTGTTTGTTTAGTACAAAGCTACATATCTGTTCATTTTATTTTAGATAATATTTGCATTTTTTACATAGTTGCATTTCTCTTTGTATCCTTCCTCTCCTGACCTCCCCCTCACTCCTTCCCCTTCCCCTCCTCCCCCTCCCTCTTCCCTCCCCCACCCTTCCTCGTGTGACATAGTAATAGGTTCTGATTAGAAAAGAAAAATGTTTTCACACAAATATCAAAACTGCCCCATTTCCCAACAAATAGAGGAATTACAATGAATCTAGGACTAAATCTAGAGTGACTCACAATGCAAGATACGTTGGTTAAGTCTCGCCAGCGTCAACGACAGTCAGCAATCTAAATAATAATAATAACAAAAAGAAAAAAAAAACGGCAACACTACCTGTTTCTTCGGCCATGAGTGTTGTCATCCAGAGGTCCTCTGTGTGTTCGCTTTACGAGGATGGAAGTCAAACTCACGCACTGCGACGCTGAATGAGTTGCCTCACTGAGTCTTCCTGGCGACACCTCGGTTTGGTTGCCGACTAATGAATCCAAGTGAGTTGTTGTGTCGCGTGGTTATCACGATATCGGAAAAGACTGGGGATTGGGAGGGAAGGGAAGGAGGAAAGGAGAACGAGACACTTTCCTCATCAAATGAAAATGTAAATAAAGTTTTTTTTTTCCAATGTGATCTTAAGTAGTAGGGATGATGTGTTGTTGTGTTTTTTATATATTAAAAAAAGTAG